CCTGACTTTATTGGATTAGGTGTTAATTTCAGTATTTGCCAGAAATAAGAAATAGTAATTCTGGCCATGTTATGCAACGCCGATTTAATTCTGCATCAGGCACATTGGCCAATCAGAACACCAAATTTTTGCCGGCTTTTGTTTTCTTGTCGAATTTTTTACCGGTTTAATGAATAGATAATCATTGATCGTCAAAGTTCATAACGAAAGATTCTTCATTTTTTTTTTTTTTACCATTCGTTAAGGTTATTTCTTGTGGCTGGGATGCTTGAAAAAGTTGTTACAAATATTTGTATCCTGTGTATGTGGCTTTATTTATTAATTCTTTAGCAAATGATTTAATTTCGATTAACATAAAATGTGTTATCATCGAATTTTAATTTCGAGCTACTTAAATCTCTAGCTGAAAATTTGATAGAGTATTATTAATTGATATTGCAATACAACTATATAGAAGTATTTCTTCTTACACCTTGAACAAAAAAACAATTGCAAGCATACTTACTACATATATGATTAAATTTTAAGTTTATCTGTAGTGTATTATAAAACATTATTCGCCATAACTAGGTCATTTTGAATGTAGATAGTTACAATAAATTAATTTTGAAAAAAAGAAACGAAAATACATATAATACATATATAATTTAATATAATTTAATATATAATTTAGTATATAATTTAATATATAATTTAATATACAATAAATAATTTAATATAATTTAAGATAATATAAAATTAAATATGCTTTTTAAATACATTCCAAACTTCATAATCCTCTATTTCAAGAGTCGTTTTTAATTTTATAAAATTTTTTAAATTTGGATAAATATTAGAATTTGAAATATGTAGCTCATCTAAATTAATATACATGTCAAAGTCATTCTTGTTACAACCAAAGCAAGGCCCATAATCTGAATAATATTCCAAAGCTAAACTATGCTTTTTAACACGTGCAAGTTTTGAAGTATTAAAATCATTTTGACTATCAAAGGAAAATAAAAAATTTCTGTTTGATACTTTTCTTTCAAAATAATGATGTTCAATGTTTGAATCATTATAACCACCAAAAATATGTTGATTAGAAGTTTTTATGATTGTTAAAGTTGGAGTTATTATCACTAATCTATTATCATCTGCTAATTTTGCTGTTAACATTTTAAGAAAGCTGAGTGGAGCAGAA